TTCTTACCTAATGTGTCCTCAAAGCATTACCAGCTCTGATGAACTGAATTCTGCACTTTGCTAAAGAAGCAATGATGATTCATAGAAAGATCATACGCCGAGCTATCTCGATACTGTCTATAGAGATCCTAACAGATGGGACAGATCTCCTGGAGGGCTCCCCTGCCAGGATCCATTGCCTCCGTTGTAAGCATGGAGCCAAGGCATGACTCAGTGCATGACCTGTCCATTCACAGAAGTCATGTGCTCCTTTGAGAAGACCCAGGGAGCAAAAGCAGAAGGAAAGGCAGCTTTTACGTAAGCCTTTTGTTTTCAAAAGGCTGTATATAGTTTCCTCTGTCCTGAATCCCAAAATGCATTGCTCCTCATCCCATTTTTTAACAGCGCAGAAAGTATTTGGCTTTAAAGATATGCTGAGCCTTTTGCAAAGGAGCTGCTTCACTTATGCTCAGCTATGTATACGAACCAGATCAAAGTACAAAGGAGTCAAGGCTTATTTTGAAGGAAAATCTAAGTATTTTTATGTATCTGTAAGGATTCAGAGAAGAGTATCATGCCTCTTCCCTGGGGCTTCCTTGTTCTCACCCATTCCCATCACCATTGTCCAGTGGTGAAAGTGCTTGAATGCAGGAATAGATCAACTTTATGCATTGTAACTCACTTGAGCTGAGAGTAGGCCACTTCCATTTCTCCCTTCCTCTGTCCCCATCTTTGATTTTCATTGGTAGATACATTACAATAGAAAGCAAAACAGTACCCTTGATTTCTCTATTGCAGGATGACTGACATCTAGGTGACAGATCCTACACGCCTCTCTGACTGCCTCTTAGAAATATCTGAAAAAATACATACACTGTTCCTTGCTTATTTTAGTTGATCAGATTGTAAAAATCCCAACCACTGTTTCCATGGAAAAAAATAAATAACCTTCAGCAGCCTTTACTGAGAGCAGGTAGGTTCAAAATGGAAAACATGTAGTTTTAGGTTTGCAATTTCTTGACCACTCCCTTCCCAAACACTGAAATTCAAATGCATCAATATAATCTACTTATAAACGTTTCCAGACAAGGTAAAATGATATTCATGCCCAGCTCTGACAGACTTTTTTTCACAGACTTTGCAGGACATTGTCCAAAATGTGTTTAAATGCAAGCAATTTCACATCAAATATTTCTGCAGGTCTAATTTTAGAAAAATTCCTGAAGATCATTATAGTGTAACAAAATCTAAAGTGAATTAATATGAGCCAGCAAAGAGAAGTACGAAAAGTCTGTATTGATATTCAAAAGTCTGAATGCTTTGTTTCTGAGTTCTCGCTTCCCATCAACATTTGCAGAGCCCATTAAAACAATGAGACCAACAGCCAACCATTAAAAGGTTCTGCTTAAATAAGCTAATGTGTGAAAAAATTAATAAAGATGCCTGATACACCTGGCTGAACCATTCACACACACGGCTGCCTCTCGATTCTGTGAAAGCGCTGCACTCCTGGGAGCCTGTTGTACAGCCCTGTGGTATGTGGCTATTGGCAAACTTCCTATCAGAGCAAATCTGATTTACATTTTTTTTTTGCCAAAGCCCTCAATAAACCATGCATGAAAACAAAGTAGGATGATGGATGCGATATAAACATCAATCATTTGAAATGTGTTGTGCTGATTCCTTCCCATGAAGGACGCAGGGTAATGTAACAATCGCAAGAGTAAACTGCCAAGAACATTGTTTCACAGGGAATTCCTGGTAGAAGTTGTCTAATTTGAACCTAACAACATGAATATGAATGCAAAAGGACGAAAAGCTGACAATATCATAAGACCATTGATGGAAACCAGCAAAACCGTCATGAACAGTTTTCAGAGATATTCCCCATTCTTTCATTTTAAATCCACATTCATGGAATAGATACTATGAAAGAAAAAAAAAATACAGTCCAAGATCACCTCCATATTGTTGCCAAGATCAGCAGATGACGATGTCTCATTGGAAGTTGTTTTTATTATAACAGGGGATATATTATTAGTAATAACAAATCTTTAGATGCTAGCCATTACTTCTGGAGATGAAAGAAACAACAAAAAGCTGGCTATGGGAGCCAACCATGGGAAGTAATCCCAAAGTAGGAGGAGGACTTCAAAAAACACAGGCATCTCCTGAAAAATTACTTTTTCAAGGAGAATGTAGCAGACAAATATGCTCTGTGTTTCTCCTGTTTCTTGCTGTTGGCTCAGAATCCTTTTCTCAGAAAGAAATTAAGGAAAAAAAAAAAAAAAATCAGATCTACTGATGTGCAACTTATGGTGCAGGTGCACATAGATGAGAAATTGCAGTATGAAGGGGTTTGGGATACTCAATTTGAACTATCATCTTTCAGAATTTGTGTAGGCCTTCTCATTTTCCTTGTGTTATACTTTGAATACAAGTGTACACCAAATCTCAGAGTCATAGGGGTTGAAAGGGACCTCTGGGGATCATGCGGTCAAATCCCATTCTTCATCTGTTTCTGCCTATCTTTTGGAAGGGATGGAGGATTTGTCTTGCCATATCCCAAATAAAAAAAAAAAAGTATGAGGTTGATATTTAAGAAGTGTTCAAATACAGGACTGACTTACAGATAATGAGAATAATAAAACAACTGACGTGGATTATTGCACTTGTGAATTGGAACTTCACTAGGGTAGAAATAAATATGCATCTTTTTATATAGCAGTATGCTTAAGTGGTATCAAAATTTTTGTATTATCAGGTTATTTCTTTGTCCATTTGCATCTCCATTCTCCAAAAACCATACAAGAATAACAAACTAGATGCAGTAAGGTGGCCCAACCTAGTCGTAGAGTTCTCATAAGACCAGACAAACTCTAAGAAATATTTTCTCATCTACCCATGTGCAAGAACTTTGTGATACATGAATATAAACAACTCTTCAGCAGAAGTACTCTTCAGTTCATGTCTGTGCAAGACTTATTTTGATCAGAATAGAAAATATTCTACACTTGAGAGAGAAAATCCTGGTATAGTATCAATATTTAAAATGCAATTACACTGTTTAGCTAACGCACTGTATAGGCTAATGTTTGCATCAAAAGAAGGGATCCTTCAGAATACAGTTAGATAGTCAAACACAGGATCAATCAGGTCAAAAGGCATATGAAAACAACAGCAGATACTCCAACTGGAGTTGCAGAGACAGGAATTCCGTAAAGAACCAAGCAAGCCTATTTTGCTCTTTTCACTACAGAAAGATAAAGAGAAGAAGAAAAAGGGGGAAAACGGGGAATAAAGAAAGCTACTTTAGCACTTCTAAATTAACATTCCGAAGACTTTTTATTAGTGACCTGCTTGTCTACATGGAACTCAGTCTGAAAAGGTAGCTAAAAGCAAAGACAGTTAAAAACAAGAAAGAGTTCTATGGGTACGTCAGGAAAAGTGTTTCTGTGTGAATACTTTCTCCCTATGGTAGCTATTTGTCTCGGGCCTAAAACAATACCCTATTTTAAAATTACATATAACAAAACGCCTAGCTAAGACAGAAGGATGTGGGGAAAAAGCTAACAAACACTCAGATAACATTTGCTAGGCAGAAGTGACAATATATATCACCCAAGCAGATTTCACCAGCCTTCACAAGGAAAAATAAGATTTAGTCAATAATCCGTTGATTGCACCTTATTTTTTTTTTTCCCCCACAGATACTTATAGACATACAAATAATAGCTTGCTATGACCAGATGATGTATGGACAGATCATAGACTTCCAAGCAAAGAGGACTTCTGCTGCCAGATCTGTGTGCAGTGTTTGGAGTGACTGAGAAGTGGGAAGACTGCTGTTCAGCAGCTCAGTCCTGGGATGAAGAGGAAAAAGGATGTGGGATTCCTCCACCACACTAGCAGCTGAGTCCATCATCTTAGAGGAGCTGAACTCTTCATGGAATAAAGGCTTAGTCGTTAATTATGACATTCATCATGGATCAAGCAAGTATCCCAGACATGACCTTTGAAAGCTTTGGCACAGCTAACACATCATAGTCATCCCATATCTTCTATAGACTGGATTTCCAGCATAATCCTATGGTTGTTTTTCTTTTTTTTTTTTTTTTAAACTTTTTGAAACCTTTGCATTTTGAGCTAATGCCCATTCTAGGGAGTAATACTGCTAACTGTACAAATAAATAAATCTTCTAAATGAAAAAAAAAGGTTTCATCATTAAACCATATATAATGGTCATGTTTTACAATCTAGTATTTAGAACAATATGAACACTAAAGCAGTGTTGTCTTGGAGATATCTTTTGTGTAATGTGACAGTGTCACCTACCAAACACGCCCAAAAATAAATGAATAAATGTCTCCACAGAATGACAAAGTAAAAGAGAGACCACCTCGGATAGATACATGCTGCCTGCAGAACACAGAACGGCCTGGACTGAAAAGGACAACAATGCTCATCTACTTCCAAACCCCTGCTACATGCAGGGTCGTCAACCACCAGACCAGGCTGCCCAGAGCCACATCCAGCCTGGCCTTGAATGCCTCCAGAGATGGGGCATCCACAACCTCCTCGGGCAACCTGTTCCAGTGTGTCACCACCCTCTGTGTGAACAACTTCCTTTCTAACCTAAACATCCCCTTTATGTAAAGCCATTAGTTTAAAACCATTGTTTTAAAACCAGAAGTATGCAACAGTCTGGATTCATATTAGATGATTTTTAAATCTCACAGGGAAAACTGGATATCTTCTTCTCACTTAAGTGTGAGTGGTGGATTATTAGACCTGTGGCAGAGAAAGAGAATGATTGCATCCCTTTATGCCACTCTTGATCCTATCTGACATAATACAAACAACAGAAATAAACTCGTGTACAGGCCTGGAAGGGGGATGTTAAACATACATACCACCTCTAGTATCTATAACATTTTGGAATTTCAAGAGGGTCTTGGAGTTTACAAAATGTCATGGAAAATGATTAATAGGTGTAATATATGTACATACGTATACTTACATAAATCCGTATGTAGAACAACCATAGTCTGTCTCTTACACGTTATGCCCCAAAGAAGTATTTCTTGTTCACGATCCACAGATCCCTGAAGTTTTCAAAAGCTTCTGAAAAAAGAAAATTAAAAAAAAAAAAAATAAAAAAAAATCAATACTGTAATTCTAAAGGGACCTCCATATTCATTAGTTTAAAAAAAAAAAAGAAAAAAAGAAAAAGATTAAAACCCTCCATATAGGCACCTAGTGAACAAGAAGATGCTTTATTTTCTAAAAAGATACAGATTAAATTCAACACACTATAACTGTTTCATTTTTTATTCTTTCCTCTATTGAGCTTGCCAAAGAATAAATAAAAACATTTAAATAATTTTAGAAAAAAATAGGTGTTCAAAAAAAAAGAAAAAAAGCAGCCAAGCTCAGTAAACCCCAGTTCCACTACAGACAATATCTTAGGTCCAGAATAAAACTTTGCTAAGTGTTGACAGGATTCAGAAAGTGAGGAGAAAGAAGCTAGTTTGGGCTAGTTTTAACTAGCCTGAGATATAGAAGCTACTCTTAAGCTATAGAATGATAGAATGGCCATAGAATGATAGAATCACAGACTGGCTTAGTTTGGAAGGGACCTTGAAGATCATCAAATTCCAACCCTCCATCATGGGCAGGGTTGCTACCCACAGAAGACTGGGATTTGTGCTGCACAGAAAGGAAGAGGATGTTTGCTCAGCATTTATACTCACAACCAACAGTAACGTCCTCCCTCCAGCATGGAAATAGATTAATTGGGACAAGATAAATTGATCAAAGGTCACATATCTGAGTCACTGGGAGCAGCTGGTGTTTAGCAGCCTATGTATTAGGTACCAAGGAAACCTTAAAAAACAGGAAATGTCAAACACAACTTAAGAGAGTAAAACTGTTGTGAATTTGTACTTTTCTGATTCATGCAATGACTTGCAGATGTCATCCAAAACCTATGGCCAAGTTATAAGAAGACAGACAAGCTGGTTTTCAGACGAAGTTGCCCTGCCAGTCACTGATAGCAGTTCCAAGTGAAAATAAGATTTTCTTCTTTTTTCAATGAGATAACACAAAATAGTCTCTAAGTAGTTTCAATTATTTTGTTCTGAAAGAAACTGACATTCCAAAATTCACTGGTTAAAGAAATGGTAAAGCATCTGTTATTATTTTTAGAGTTTCCGTAACTAATTACATTACAGTATGTAAGCCAAAGCCAGACCTGTAGCCAAATTCCTCTCTGCTACATTGGTGTAGCTGAAATCACTGACCAGATTTCAGGGAAAATTTAAACTGATTGAACTGAAATTGGAATTTGGTCCATAGAATCATTAATTGCAATTCTTCATCAGTCCATATTGATACGATGCTGTTGGAACGGTTGGGCAACTTGCTCGCTCTTTGCCTTCAGGAAATGTACGGCAGCCTTGAACTGTTCAGAGGGCTCTGCCATACAGAGCTGGTATCAGGAAAATCTCACCATTAGCACCGAGGAGGACTGTTAATCCCCAAAAGGAACTGAATAGGCAAAGTCACACACAGCAAGGGAGCTGGTTCTCTCCGCCCCTCCAAAAAAAAAAAAAAAAAATAAAATTAATGACTAAATTCCAGCCTTCAGAGAGGGAATTGCTGTGTTTCTCCAATGTTAAGCATTGGGAATAGAAATTCCCTCCAGGAACGCAACCTATTTATTGTGCTTTCAGCTGGACAGAACTTGCTTCTCTCATATTCTGGGAAAAATGAAAAAGGACTTTCTCTGCTCTACTTTAATTTTAGCTACATGTGCACAGATGAAAACCTGCAAATCCTTGTGCCTATTTTGATTCCTCTCCCACATCTTGAACAAACATTGCAATATATATATTATATATATATATACATATATATATATTTTTAATCAACACCTACACAGGAAAGCAATCACTTGAACTTCATTTTGCAAATGAGCTACTGATGACCTAAAACTTTATTTTAACATGTGAGAAAACAGTCTACTGAATTAGAGCCGAATACAACATCCTCATGCCTAACACTGTTAGAAAACATCTTAGCCTATGGAAAATATATTGTTCTTCCTCTTTCTAAAGCAAGGTCTTCCCACCAGCTCAGGATGTTCGTTGACTGGTTGTTGTGAGAAGCATTTAAAATTATGCTACTGCAAAAATAAAGGTAGTGTGAAATTAAGAACTGGAAGAGAAAAAGGACATAAGAAAGATCACATGTAAAGAGAAACTGAAAGTGTTGCAGCTGTCTGCCTCAGAGAAAAAACCAGCTACAAGGCATGGTAAGGTAATAATATTAGTCACCTAGAAAGAAAAAGAATGGACTTCAATTTATATTACACAAGACCAAGAGGGCAATCAGTAAAAACAAAAGCCAGTAAGTTTAAGTTAGTAAGTAAGAAGTTAGTAAGCTGTGTTGTTATTCTAATTAAGAATGGAAGTTAATCTATGCACAGTTTATCTGCAGAACTTTCTGAAGCCAAAAATTCAGAAAGGGAATAAAAAGACTACTGCAAGAAAAAAGATACAGGAGTGCTTAAAAGCATAAATGCTTTACTGATGCCTCAGAGAACATAGAACAAGTCCTGTTTCAAAACTTTCTGAAGTCAATGGAATGTTTCTCTATTCATCTTGAACTCAGATGGGCCTATTGTTACGAATTCCCATGATTTGTGAGAGAGGATATAAATTACAACTTTAAAAGAATACAAATGCAGTTTGTGTTATTATTATTTCAAAAGTACTTGTCTTGGTTTCTCCCGCGGGATAGATAATGGAATGGTATAAAAAAGAAACATAATGAAAATGAAATTTGGAAATAAAATTTACCAGAAAAAAGAAGTAATATCAAATAACAGCACTCCTGAAATTGAATGCAGTTATGGAAAGCTGCCATCTGAAGAGATGACTTGTTCAAATCCATTACTCAGAAATCACTTCTAAGATGGCAGATGCCTAAACGTGTGATACTTAGTACTTCATAGAAAGATGCAGTAGATGCAGACACTGTGTAAGAAGTATTTCAGCTGTTTAAACAATCTGTTTTGCACTGAAAGCTTTTGATCTTTTGGCTGGTACTTTTCATGAAATATGAGGAAAGAACTTAAATGCAATAACACTATTACTTAAAACAGTACTTGGAGGCACCTGAAACAAAAACAGATTGGTAAAATTAACACGTACAGAGAAAAACTGGCATTGAAAATAAGTGTAATTATGTCACTCAATCCATACAGCACTGGACCAAAACCTTCATTACTTCAGATCCTAGTAGCTGTCTCCTTGTGATTTGGAGGTGTGAAAGTTGTTTTCACAAGAATCAGAATCTATTTGTTTGTCAGAATCTATTTATTTATATAACAGCAAAACCAACACTCCTTTCTATTTGGAGCAAGCATCATGTATCTCCAATACAGCATTTATCTCTAAAACAGATCAGTCAGGAAAGCAAGGTGGAGAAAGACAGGAGGTGGGACAAAAGAATCAACTGCACAAGAAATAGGAAATGAAAGAAAGTGAGAAGAAACAAATGAGACAGCAATGTCTAAAATAGAATAAAAAAGAAAAACTAATATAACATCTACATACGAAGTGACATTTCATCTTAAACTCTATTTTTTGAAGTCAGAGAGGGATTTCCATGGCCCATTGACCTTCTGCTCACCTTTCCCAAAGGGCTGAGTTTCATTCACCGTGCTCTACAGCTAAGAGGACCCTGCATTTCACTTCACATGATTTTGCACCAACACAAATTACTTTGCCAATTTTTCACTGAAAACGTACTGAAGTGTTGTCCCTCACCCTTATTTCCTTTCTTAGTTTGTTATGGAGGAAAAAAAAAAAAAAAGTGTAACTAGAGAAAGTTGTTTCAAAATAGTAATTAAAAATAATTAGTAATTAAAAAGTAATTAAAAATAAAAATCTAAAATTTCAAAATACTAATTAAAAATTTGCAGAAAAATCACAGAATAATAGAGTCATTAAGTTTGGAAAAGACTGCTGAGGTCATTTAGTGTAACCGCCAATTCCAACCTCACCATACCATTGAACCGTGCCCCTCAGACAAAGTGAACACATGTACACATGCTCAATGAAAGTTTAGTGAACAGAATTAAGTTAAGAAAACGGTAGAGAAATTTTGCAAAGAAAGTGAAATCTGGAAGAAAAATGAAGACAAAAATAGCCGTGGAATCTAAAAGAAAAATAAAATGTGACAAGAAAAAAATGTAAGGCAACAATGGCTGTTTTCATGAGTGTCTAGAAATATGATAAATACTGTAGGTACCGAAAGCTGAGATAATCCTGAATCTGAAATGACTCCATAAATTTTCCAGCTTTATTCAGGAAAATGCTTTAAAGTGGATTTGTTGGCGTTTAAAAATCATTTATAATCAACGTAAGGGAAACAACCTTGAGTTACCCTGCAGTTAGGGAGGGATGTGAGCACGCAGCCTGAGCAGTGAGCTCCCACAGGTCAGCTGCTCCCTTCTCGCTACCCCAGCCTGGAAGCAGGGGGCAGCAGGACCCCCTCCTTAACCCCCCCCCCCCCCCTCCCCCCCCAGCCCTCCTTCCACCCCAACCCTGCTCCTTTACCTGCTACAAAGTTTCTCAGGCATCACTGCAAGACTGAGTCACTGGGCTGCTGAGGAACTTGGAGCCAGCTCTGGGACAAGGTCCAGCAGCGATGCAGCTGCTCTCACACGATGCTGAACCTGAGTCATTCAGTTCTGCCAGACATGGGCCACAGGGGGATCTCAGCACACAGATCCCCAGTGCTCCCACTTGTCAGAGAGTTTGTTAGCACAGGCGAAGTGCCAGAGCTTGGCAGACCCACGAGTCTGTGGGACTTCTAGGTGTAGGAGCTCTCCCTGCCTCCCTAAGTCTCCCATTAAATGAGGTTAAATTGAATTTACCAAAGAGGTGACTGGTTTTGAGCTAATTTTCCCTTTTCATTATTTTCTCTATAAAAAAGTTGACTAAACTCACTTGCTTGATTATAGGTTAGAATACAGAATTCATAGGTTGTCACTGAACAGTTTTGTGTCAGTCTTTCCCCCTG